AGTTACTACATTACCAGTAGTTTTAACTGTCAGGATATAGTTTTAAAGTAGTCATTTTTACATAGAAAAAGAACTTACAAAAGGAGAAGTAGCATTATATCTGGTGGAAGGAATGAGAGGGCAACCTTTATATTAATCCCATGGTGAAAAAGGTAAGAAATACCTTTAGGGACAGTGATAAGTTAGAGGAGAGATTTGTTTTCCTCAGTAAGTTGTAAGATCTTTTTTCCTAGAAATCTTTCTAATATCCTCCTCTTATCTGTTTAATCTCCACAGCATTATAGTTGTCAGTTTTTTTAATTGAAAATTTAGTTTCTTAGGTCTTCTATCTTTAGAGGTTTATTCTATTTTAGGCTTTGTTGATCCTTCCCTGTCTTTTTTATTTCATTGATTTTTGTTCATATTTCCTTCCCTCTATTTCTTTTAGTTTATTCTCCCTTTTTGTTTAGCTCACTATTTCTGAGCCTTACCAACATGCCCCACCCACCAGAGTTGTACATAGTACAATTGATGGAACCACACCGACACATCATAATCACCCAGAGTCCATGGTTTACATTAGGATTCACTCTTGGTGTTATACATTCTGTAGATTTGGACAGATGAATAACATATGATACATATCCATAATTAACATACAGAGTATTTTCACAGCCCTAAACTGAGCACTTTTTCATCTACCTGTTAGCCATTTGTAGGTCTCTGGAAGAAATGTTTATTTCAGATCCTTTGCCCCTCTTTAAATTGGTTATTTATGGTTTTGCTATTTAGCTGTGTGGGTTTCTTGTATATTTGGGGTATAACTCCTTACCAGATACATGGTTTGCAAAATTATTTCAGAGGTTGTCTTTTCATCTTGTTGATACTTTTCTTTGCTGAGCAGAAGCTTTTTAGTTTGATATACTCCCATTTATTTATTTTTGCTTTTGTTGCCTTTTGACTTGGGGGTCAAATCCAAGAAATCATTGCCAAGACTGATGCCAGAGAGCTTACCCCCTATGTTTTCTTCTAGGAGTTTTGTCATTTCAAGTCTTGCGTAACTTCCTGCATAACTATAGCACAATATCAAAACCAGGAAATTGACATCAGTACAATCCACAGCTGTATTGAGATTCAGCATTTCTCCCTGTACTCCTTTGTGTTTATGTGTGTATAATTCTGTGCAGTTTTATCACATATGTAGGTTCTTGTAACCACCATTGCAATCAAGATCCAGAACTGTTCTATCACCAAGAGGTTCTCTAGGAGGGCTGTTTTTAATTCACACTTTCATCGCTTATGTAGCCCTCTGTGACCCCAGCTTTATATATAGGGTCTGCAATGAAGTTGATTCATCATCTTGGGTGGGCCTTGAGCTTTATCTCCTGTGCAGTTATCAGAGCAGAAAATCAATGTCTGCAGGATTCACCAGAAACCCTAAGAGCATAAGCTGGCTTTGGCAGGTGCTTATTTATTAGTTTTCCTGGTTTCGCTTTGGGGAGGTTGGCAGGGGTGGGGGGCACTTTGACATTTCTGTTCTCTGGTGCCAGCTCTAAGATGTGTTTAAAAAGATACTTTAAATTTTTGTCAAGCATTGTAGTTGTTTTAGTCAGAAGGTTCATTCAGGGTTTCTGATATGCCGTATTTTGGAAACAGGTGACCCTGGAAATACTAAACTTTCATCCTTATACTTTTCATTATGGTTTTTCATAATTAGAAAAGTGGACTTTTATTCTTAGTGCCTATGCATCTATGATTAGTTGGTGATAAGATATGTTATTCATTCAGAACCATTTAAGATTCTATTCAGAAATGGTCACAGAATTTATAATGGACCTCTTTATGAATAGTTTAACTTCTAGTCATAGATTTTATTTATCTCTGTGCTTTAGTTATTTCAATATTATTGGCCATTTGTATGTCTCTGGAAAAATGTTTATTTCAGATCCTTTGGCCCTCTTTAAATTGGGGCACAGAAGTTAAATAATTTCTTCATGCTCATGATCATTGGAAAGTCTGAGGGTAAAGTTCACTTGAATCTTTCACATATCCTATTTTCTACAACTCAGATTTAAATGGTTTTGCAGTTAGCTTTTAAGTTGGACTTATATACCCAAATAGTATAAATTTCCCTGAACTTTCAAATCAGGTTAAAATGACAGATATTTAATTTCAAACAAAAGGAGAGAATATAAAATCTCCAACCCTGATTCTTAAAAAGTTTGGAATTTTATTTTATTTTTTTAAAGATTTTATTTATTTATTTATTTATTTATTTGACAGAGAGAGGGGGAACACAAGTAGGGGGAGCAGCAGAGGGAGAGGGAGAAGCAGGCTCCCCGCTGAGCAGGGAGCCTGATGTGGGGCTCGATCCCAGGACCCCGGGATCATGACCTGAGCCGAAGGCAGACGCTTAACCAGTTGAGCCACTCAGGCGCCCCAAAAGTTTGGAATTTTAAAATTAGCATGCTTAGAAGTATCTGGCTGTTGCTCATGATACAAACCATTTGCATAGGGGAGAAGAACCTGTGGGAAGTCATGTTCTCCCGGGGTAGACAGGAGAAATAGAGCTCAATTTAAGACCAAGAAAAAAAAAATATGGAATATTTCAAGCCTACATGAAAAACTCTGATGAAATTAAGTGTTTTGTGGTTGTAATCTTGTGATTATACAGCATCCATGTGCCAAGGGAAATAGACTAATGTTAATGCTGGGCTGTTACTTTGTCTTTTATTATGGCACTGACTGTATTTCATAACATACTTTTTCTTCAAGGATTCTTAAAGTATTTTAGTTCACCTTAAAAATATGTTTAAGGAATTTATTTAAAATGTAGAAAACATTGGCTAGTTTAAAATAAGGAAATGTAACTTTTATATGGGGATAAATAATCTAAGGAATAGGCTAGACCACTAACTGCCCAAGATATTTGCTGTATGTCTGAATTTCTGTGCATCCGAATCAAAAGTTTGTTGTTTAAAAACTGTTTTCAAAAGTTTGTTGTTTAAAAACTGTTTTCTTACTGCTGTGGACATACAGGTTCTCCACTTGAGATTTGTCAAAATTCGTGTTGTTGAAACAGCATTTACTGATAGCTTGATAGGAGAGTTAGTTCCTGACTTCAAGAAATGTATGGTATATTGGTATATTAAGTCATTGTGATGTTACTGTACTTTTAGTATAGCGAAACCCCAGGAGCACAGATTTGGAAGAGATGAGTTTGGCGAAAGGTTGGTCAGAAAAGTCTTCATAGAAAGTGAAGTCTGAGGTGGGCCTTTAAGCAGAATTATACCAATATTCAAGTGAAAGGAGAGCATTCTACCAAAATGGGAATATTCTAAATGTTACTCGCTCCCATCACCCTCATGAGTTCTTTTTTTTTTTTTTCTTTGCCTTCATTAGGACAAATTGAAAAGGTTCATGTCCCATTTTATGGGCTGTATTTCTAATGTAATTATTTGGTTCAAGTAAAAGTTTAGGCTATTTTTCTTTGCATGCCCATTCCTAGATTGCAGTTCTTCTAAGTTAGAAAAGAGAAGGGGAAACAAAACAAAACAAAACAGGTTGAGCTTTTACTTTAGGGATGACAATTCATCCATTTCTTTCTCTGGCTCCTGCTGTGGTTTCTAGATCAATGCCTGTTTGTTTCCCTGTTCCCTATTATAATTCCCTCTGATAGCACCCTACCTGAGCTGCCTGCTCATTCAGTTCCAGTTCTTTCCCTACTCCTTCTCTACACTTGAATTCATTAGTCTCAACCCTTACCTTGCCTGCTGTCTCCATTCCCCAGCAGCTGGCCCAGACACCTGCCATCTTGAGTTGCAGCAGTTACCCACCTTCCATCGGTATTTGACCAGCCTCCGGGCATGGTCTGACCCACACTACTTACTTAGACACAGCATAGCCTTAATCAGACTCTTACCCTCTTTCTGTAGATTTCAGATCAGGACCCATGTTTCCTTCTCCCCACCCCACCCCCACCAATTAATTTCATTAGTGTTCAGTTGTAATTAATTTAATTGTATTTTTTAGCTGCAGTTGTAGATTTTTTTAACATTTGTACTAGTAAAGTTATTTTTAGTCTCTACATTATTTAAATTTTTGTGTTCATTGAAACTTTCATAGGGACCTAATATTATTTTCCTTTTGATGACTCACTTTAAAGCATTTGTGAACCAACAAAACTAAAACGTTCCCAAACTCACACAAACAGGTTTATCTGGCCTCTGAACCCTGAACCCAGTTCTTTTCTTCCTACCATATTGCTTTGCTATTTTCATTCTAAAACCCTCACAAAAAATTTAACAGTTTACTTCCTCTAATTTAGCTTTATGCTACTGATGATTTTGTTTACTTGCTTAGCACTAGGTCCAGTAAGATCAGAGTTTCAACTCTGTATGGGCCAGTAATCCACACTGTGTATCTCCATCAGTAATCAGTGTAGTCTTCTCAACAGTTCAGTCTACGTGACAACTGGGTTATATAAAGAACCAAGGGCAAGAGGTGGGGAAGTGCAATAGATTGACAAAGCTCTATCCTCTTTCCTCACAAGACTGAAAGGCCTGAAGAAGGTAGTTGATTAGCATTGGAAAGAAGACTGGGTTTTGAGTCAGAAAGCCTGGGCCTAAGTTGTGGTTTTGTCACAAACTCCCTCAGTACCTTTGCCTAAGTCTTTTAACCTCTCTGAATTATTTTCTCTTTAGTAAAAATGGAGATAAAAATAGAGCCTCCACAGCATCTCAAAGACTGAAATCATGTATGTGAAAATACTTAGAAAAACAGTACAGTGCTGGGAACAATGTAAAAAATCAATGTAGGGTAGATTACTGTACATGGTAAGTTTGGGGTACATTTTCAAATCATCCTTTATGGTTATTTCCTAATACCTGCCTTAGAGATTTGACTAACCCAGTGACTCCATCAGTAATCCAAAGGGGAAAAAAAAATGGTAATGATACTATGTTAGTGAACAAAATAAACAGAATATTGTATCTGCTTACATTTTTTCATTGCCTTTACAGGAGAGCTTTGAACTTGGGAATTCTTCGAGACCCTGGATCAGAAATTGAAGATAGACAGTACCAAATAGACCTGCAGTCCATCAATATTGGTACTGCACAGTGGGATCAACTAAAACCGGAGAAGGAAAGTGGCACAGGAGGGGTGCTAACAGAGAGTGAAAGAAATTCTCAAAACCCAGCCCTTGAGTGGAATATGGCCAGCAGGTAGGAAATTGTTGAGAAACGTTCTACACTTTCTAATATTTCATTGCCAGAAGAACAGTTGGGGATACAGCCCTTGAGCATGCCCAACCTAAGTGTCAGGGTACCTCTTCTGCATTTCATGATCAACATAAAATATATTTTATAATTGTAACTAATGATTTTCCTTGGAAACCTGCTAGTCCTACCAACTGTTACACTGTAATTATTACAAATTTAAGATTGTGTCAGCATTATTTTCAAGCTTGCTCTTTGATGAAAGGTTCCACTTCAGACTAAGGATACATTCACATTTTACCTTGAAATCCATTGTATTCAAGGTCAGGTTTTTGTTTTTTTTGTTTTGTTTTGTTTTGTTTTTTAAAGATTTTTTATTATTTGAGACAGAGAGAATGAGAGAGACAGAGAGCACATGAGAGGGGGGAGGGTCAGAGGGAGAAGCAGGCTCCCTGCCGAGCAGGGAGCGCGATGCGGGACTCGATCCCGGGACTCCAGGATCATGACCTGAGCCGAAGGCAGTCGCTTAACCAACTGAGCCACCCAGGCGCCCAGGTTTTTTTTTTTTTTTAAAGTCTCTCTGTTTATTATGATAAGAGGAGAAAAGTAATAAAAGCTCTGGGTTGCCTTTATTTTTTTAGTCCACTTTAACTTAAAGCCCCTATGTTCGCAGAGAACACTTTTAAAGGAATTAGTCCTGAATGTGATCGATAAGATTTGTAGAGAGCCACTGCCATCTCACCCAGGCTGCTCGTGGTTTCTCATCAGAGTTAGGTGCAATTGTTTGCTAGAACGAAGCTACTAGGCATTAAAAATACTTTTAGAGTATTTTTACTCTAAAGGTCTTTTTTACCTAGAGGTCTTTATGATTTTAAAAAGTGTTAACTATTTTCTCATTTTTCTTCCTTTTTAAAAAAATTTTTGCTTGTAAGATTTACTGACATCTGTTGCTTATAACACACCATGGTGGTTTATTTGATTGAATTTCTTTAAAACATTACGTGTATGTAGACTTTCTTGTATGCCTTTTGCAAAGCTGATTGCTTTGAGGTTCTGCCATTTTACCACCAAAACTATATTTATCTATGTCTTGGCATTAATAATAGCAGCAATTTTAATAATAGATTATATAATATTTATCACGTTACCTAACTTATTTAAATTAATTTTTGCAGTAATGCTATGAGCTAATTATACATGAGGAAACTGAGGCCTAACAAAGATAAATAATGTGCCTAAAACCAAATGCCAAATAGTAGTCTGTACTCTATATAAGCTTCTTCTTCAGGTACCCACATTCTTTTCTAATTTCCTTGTGGCTCTATTCATAACGAGCTTCTTTCAGCTTCCTGAAAATAAGGTTTGTCACTTGCTATTAGGCCTTGATATGTGATATCTGCCTGGAACTCTCTTAAACCACCACCACCACCCCGCCCCGCCCCCCCCTTCACTTGCCTAACTCCCATCATTCATCAAGCTTCAGGAAGCCTCACGTTTTCCAGGAAGTCTTCCCCTGAGCCTCCATGAGAAGCAGGTTAATACCCTTTGGGTGTGCTCTTAACATTATCTATATACTTTGTCTTGGTTCTGAGGACAAATCTTTACCATCCAGTCCATTGATTTATCCCTAGCACAAAGCATTTTTACAGTGTGAAATGTATTATACAGCGGTGCTGGGGTGACTCAGTCAATTAAGCATCCAACTCTTGTTTTCAGCTCAGATTCTGACTTGAGGTGGTGGGATTGAGCCCTGCGTCCGGCTCCGTGCTCAGCAGGGCGTCCGCTGGAGGTTCCCCCTCCCCCTCTCCCCCTCCACTCTCACTCTCTCTCTCAAATTAAAAAAAAAAAAATGTATTGTTACAGCTTTTCATTAATAAGTGATTGAATGTGCTCCTGAATAGGGGTGCAAATTTGGGTGAGAAATTTCCCACTGCTGACCAAGGTGCATTTCAGGAGAGGGATGCAGGCCATACTTCTAGCAGCTGGTCCTACGTAGAGGATATGGTGCACACCTTACATGCACTACACCAGTCCTGATCTGTAAACATCACATGGTAGGAGTCAGGGTCAGATTCCATCTTTCCTCTACTTCATTCAGTTTTCAGGTTCAGGAAGTTCCAGCTTACATAATTTATAGGTCATTTTTTTTTAAGATTTTATTTATTTATGTGAGAGAGAGAGAGTGTGTGTGCACATGCACAGAAGGAGAGGGAGAGGCAGAAGCAGATTCCTCACTGAGCAGAGAGCCCACTGCGGGGCTCCATCCCAGGACCCTGGGATCATGACCTGAGCCAAAGGCAGACACTTAACCGACTAAGCCACCCAGGCGCCCTTATAGGTCATCTTAAAAACCACAAATTCTATCAACAAAGAAAATGGGCCTTATTTTCCTAGGAAACTTTATGAACATCTAGCCTTAACTCAGCTGTATCTCTCCTATTTATTCCTTAATTCATTTAAATAAACAGTTTGGGGCACCTGGGTGGCTCAGTCATTGAGCATCTGCCTTCGGCTCGGGTCATGGTCCCGGGGTCCTGGGATCGGGCCCCCCGTCGGGCTCTCTGCTCGGGGGGTGCCTGCTTCTTCCTCTCCCACTCCCCCTGCTTGTGTTCCCTCTTTCCTGTCTCTCTCTCTGTCAAATAAATATATTTAAAAAATCTTTAAATAAACAGTTTGTGTTTCTGTGTGTTTTAATAACTGAGATGAAATTCACATTACACAAAATTAACCATTTAAAGTGGACAATTCACTGGTATTTTGTACATTCACAATATTGTATAACCACCACCCCTATCTATAACCACCACCTCTGTCTCATTCTAAAACATTTTCTACACCCTAAAGTAAAATTCCTTACCCAGTAAGCACTTTCTTCTACATCCTTCTCACTCCCCATGGCCCCTGGCAAATGCCAATCTGCTTTCTGTTTCTGTGGATTTATCTATTCTAGATATTTCATATAAAAGGAATCATACAATATGTGACCTTTAGTGTCTGGCTCATTCACTTAACACAATGTTTTGGAGGTTTTTCCACATTGTACCATGTGTCAATACCTCATTCTTAGTTACTGTTGGATAATATTCCACTGTATGTAAATACCACAGTTTGTTTATCCATTCATCTTTTGATGGACATTTGGGCTGTTTCTACTTTTTAGCTATTATGAATAATATTGCTGTGGACATTTGTGTACAAGTACCTGTTTCAGTACCTGTTTTCAGGTATTAGAGATATATATCTAAGAGTAGAATTTCATGGTCATATGGTAATTCTATATTTAACTTTTGAGGAGCTGCCAAACTATTTTCCACAGCGGCTGAACCATTTTACATTCCCACCAGCAATGCTCAAGGGTTCCAATCTCACCACATTCTCACCAACACTTATTTTCCTTTTTTTTTTTAACTGTAACCATCCTATTGGGTGTGGTTTTGATTTGTGTTTCCATAATGATTAATGATGTTGAGCCCTTCATGTGATTTTTGGCCATTTTTATATCTTCTTTAGAAGAGTGTTTACTCAAGCCTTTTGCCCATTTTTAAATTGAGTTATTTTTTTGTTGATGATTTGTAGGAGTTCTTTATTTATTCTAAACGCTATACCCTTATCTGATATAATTTATAAATGATCTTTTCATTTCTTGATAATAATCTTTGCATAAGTTTTTATAATTGATCTGAGAATCCATTGCTACATCCAACGTCATGAAGATTTATGCCTGTGTTTTTAAATTTTTTTTCGTTTGCAGATAGTTGACACACAATGTAGTACTAGCTTCAGATGTACAACATAGTGGTTCAGCTTTTCTGTACGTTACGCTGTGCTCACCACAAATGTAGCTACCATCTGTCACCACACAGTACTGTTACAGTATCATTGCCTACATTACCTGTGCTATGCCTTTGATTCCCATGACTTAGAACTGAATGAAATGTATCTGTACCTCCCACTCCCCTTCACCCATTTTGTCTATCCACATCACCCCCTTTCCCCTGGCAACCATCAGTTGGTTCTCTGTATTTATAGGCCTGATTCTGCTTTTTGTTTGTTTGTTTGTTTTGTTTTGTAGATTCCACAAGTGAGTGAAATCATGATATCGGTCTTTCTTAGCCTGATTTATTTCACTTAGCATAATACCCTCTAGGTTCATCCATGTTGTCACAAATGGCAAAATCTCATCCTTTTTATGGCCGCATAATATTCCTCTGTGTGTGTGTGTGTGTGTGTGTGTGTGTGTGTGTGTGTGTGTAATAGACACATACCACATCTTACTTGTTCACTTATCTATCAGTAAACATTTAGGTTGTATCCATATCTTGCCTATTGTAAATAATGCTGCAGTAAATATAGAGGTTCATATATCTTTTCAAATTAATGTTTTCATTTTCAATTCCATTAGTGGAATTATTGGATCATATGGTATTCCTATTTCTAATTTTTTGAGGCACCTCCATACTGTTTTCCACAGTGGCTGTACCAATTTACATTCCCACCAACAGTGTACAAGGGTTCCTTACCAATACTTGTTATTCCTTGTGCTTTTTATTTTAACCATTCTGACAGGTGTGATGTGATATCTCGTTGTAGTTTTGATTTGCATTTCCCTGATGTTGAGCATCTTTTCATGAGTCTATTGGCCATCTGTATGTATTCTTTGGAAAAGTGTCTTCAGGTCCTCTGCCCATTTTTTAATTGGATTTTTTGGGTTTTGGGTTTTGGGGGGTTTTTTTTGGTGTTGACTTGTATAAGTTCTTTATATATTTTGGATATTAATTCCTTGTTAGATATATTATTTGCACATATCTTCTCCCATTCAGTAGGTTGCCTTTTTGTTTTGTTGATGGTTTCTTTCACTGTGCAAAAGCTTTTTATGTTTATGTAGTTCTAATAGTTTTTTGTTGTTTTTAAAATTTTTATTTAATTATTTATTTGAGAGAGAGAGAGAGACTGTGCATGCACATGGGCAAGTTGAGGGGAGGGGCAGAGGGAGAGAGAGAATCTCA